AACAGCGGTGTGTAAAACTGCTCAAAATTGGGAACCTCGTCGAAATTCCTAGTTTTTTTCCTCTGCTCGTTGCATTCTTTTAGCCAAGCGTGCTCTTTGCAGTTTGTACAGCACATTATCGTTGTCAGAATCAAGTTCACGATGTCTAGTATAGCCATCGGCTGCATGGCTCATTGCATAGGATGTCGTATCAATCATTTGTCGAGCTGAAATGGCATCTTTTCGACTAATGACCTTTACAGAGACATCTGCATTTCTCGTTACCAGCAGTTAGAATTCTTTCATCATCTATTTTGTTTGACTTCAAGGCTGGGACAAAGTCATGAAGCTGATTGACTTCTTGGAACGCTCCAATCATTGTATTTAATCGGTGAATAAGCATCCCTTAACAACTATAGCTTGCAAATCTTCCACAGAAAAGATGATAACCTCACCTATGGTCTGCACAACAAGTATACCAAGCAGGAATACTATAATCAACATTCCCAATGGATCTATTTTCAAGGGATCCTTAGTCTCCTCGTACTGTCCAGTCATTTCGTTCATTTTGGTCCATTTGAAGTCTCCTATATCCGGAGAATTTATGGCTGCAGAAAAACCTATCAAATTTCTAGGAACTTACGATATGGTGTCCAGCGGATACTCAACACGTTTTTATGCTTTTGGATAAGATAGATAGCAAGTGCAAGTAGTGCATTGACAAGAATGATAGCAAACGCGATATTGTTACGCAATGAAGCCAAACCCTCAGCGATTTCGCTTTGCTGTTGTGGTGTGGACTGCACGGGCTGAAAAAATTGGACCAAATAGCACAACTTAATGAAGCGATAAGGCAGATTACAGCAAAACTGGATCTTGCACACTTTTAGGTATTCTTCAATCAGTTGGGTCCAGAAATGTTCCTCAGCTGCCTTCAGGCGTCCACGCTCACAAACCTACAAGTAAAAGAAGTCTGGAACCAAAGTAGTTAAGTGAACCCCCAAAACTAAGATTTCCTCGCAGACCTGCAGATAATCACCTTCCATCCACATGTACTTATCAACAACTCTCACCGGCTGCGGTTCCACAACTGGTCGTCTGATTTCAACCACCTAAATGATTTGAAGCTCCTTGCAGGTTGAATGAACGCCAGTTAAAGAACTTGCGTCGTTGGTTCCCTCAGCTTCATCCACTTCTTTGGCAAATTTTTTCAGTTGTTCTGTAGATTCTCCTTCTTTTTCATGTTCTTTCTGAACAGCCTTTATTAAAGCGCCGCGTGAGAACCTTTTCTAAAGAGAACTAGAGATTTCTATCACCTGCAATTTATTAACCGATCGCTCCATACGTTCCAATTTTCGCTCAATTAACTGCAGAGCCTCATCAGGCTTGGCACGAAGGGTTGGACAAAGAGCTGACCATGGGCCTTCACC